CTCTTCAGACAGGGATTGGACTGGACTGTGGGACATAAAGTGATACTCGTGAGAAGTGTGCCTCTTAGCTCAAGTAGATACAAGAGACTAAACAGGCAGCTTCTGTCTGGAGGTGAGATGGGAAGGCAGAGGGGGTTAGAAGCTGGCTGAATGAACATGGGGTATCAGGGGTAGAAAGGAGGAGTGTGCTGTCACAGTATGGGGAGAACAGTTAGAGTCACATAATAATGTATGTGTAAATTTTTGTATGGGAAAAAATTTTAAAAAATTAAAAAAGAAAAATTTTTGAGTCATCTTATTGCTTCCAACAATCCAGCTAAATATGAAGCAATAAACCTTCAAAATTTCTGAAGGAAGAAATCTACCACAAGAATACAACACTTACCCAAAATAGAGAGGAAAAAAGGCAGCTGTGTGCCTCTTTTTACATATATCCCTGAGCAGCTACATCAAACACAGCTTAGGCTTTCAAGAAGCATGCAGTCCCCCTGTGAAAGGCAGTAACTACCCAAGAGAATAAGCTTATTAGGGATGATATAACCATCACATTTTGGGAGACAGGTTTTCAGCTTCAATTAAGTCTCACAGCTCAAGACTATGCTGAGTGCTATGGGACATGTAAGAAAAAAAAAAGAATATATGTTTTGCACTCATGTGAATAGATGTCAAAATCTATAGATGGCTCAGCAACAGGTAAAAATTAGGTCCTCCATAAATTAATATCCATAGCCCATCTAGCTCTAAAATTAATTTTTTGCTTCTCACTGCTACTACACAATTACGTATTATTTTCATCTCCCTCTCTCTGGAATAGCTCCAACAATGCTTTAAAATTCCTCTTATGCTGTTGCGTGCTGACAAGTCAATTCTGACTCTAGGGACCCTATAGAACAGAGCAGAACTGCCCCATAGGGTTTCCTAGGCTGTAATCTTTATGGGAGCAGACTGGCAGGTCTTTTCTCCTACAAAGCCACTGGGTGGGTTCAAACCTCCAACCTTCTGGTTAGCAGCTGAGCGCTTAACCATTGCACCACCAGAGCTCCTTAATTTCCCTTATAAGTCCCCCCTCCACCAATCAAGAGATATACTCCTCCCTAATCAAAGACCCCAAAGACTTCCCTTTATAGGATAAATTCCCAAGTATTCAAGACTATCCTAATTTACCCCCAAAGAGCCACTTTCAAGTATTTTACCTCCGACCACTTCCCAACAAGAACTCTCAATCGCTGTACTCACTGGCATCTGAAAATGCCACATTTGTCTGGTAACCCAAATGTGCCATTTCCCCCCATTCATCTAGGATTAAATTCTACCCAAACTTCAAAAACCAACTTTACTTGCTCCACCAAGCCTTCCAAATCATATCAATGTTCTATATTATTTATTCATTTAGCCCTATTATGAAATGTTGCTTTTTTATCATCGAGCTAACGTGATATCTATTCTAACCAACTAGAGTTTAAATCCTTACCAACAGGGTTTATATTTTATCCATCTTTGTAACTGTCACGGAAAACAAAGGCTATTCAGTAATTATCTGTTGAACAGATAAATTGCAACTGCAAAAAACCTTCCATTCAATCATTCCAATAGAGTAGCTACCAGACTTTTCAAGGATTTCCAAAACAGAGGTCAAAGATTCCACACATCTCCATTACTAGGAGCCATTCACTTCACAAACATAATTTCACAGAAACTTAACTAAATAATTGAAAGCTTTCATTTCAGATGAAGAAACTTTGGCACAGGCACATTAAATGATTTAGTTCATTCAATAAAGCACTTTTGAACATCTATATATAACACCTACTGTTTACTGGATATACAAAAATGGCTACGATACAATTCCTCTATTCATGGAACACACAGTACAATTATTACTATATAATTATAAAAATAGAGGTAAAGGGAAGAAGCCAGCTAACTAAAATCTCTTCCTCATTTAAGAAATCACAGCATGCTTTCTTCCATCAGCATGGAGTCCTAAAAATGGTCTGCGATATTCCATCTCTCTTAGGAAGTGAAAAGTTGATTTCTTTAGTCTTTACTCCAACAGAGCAAATTTGAAAACAGTTGGAATGTGTGGTGTCATTTTCTAGATGAAAATAACCCAACATCAGCACAACACAACCAAGATAAATAAAGACACTAAGGTAAATAAAGACACTAAGAAGTACATGAGAAAATGTGACAATTCTGGTAAATGCTGTAACATAAACAACTTTGCAACAGAAAAATAACCCCAAACTATGTATGTGGTTCCATAGGTAGACATGGATGCACAGATGTTTAGAAAGGCATATGTGAGTAAATGCACGTGCATGTACAGGTGGAACTGTAGGTATACGTATATACACGTTTGTGTGCACTACATATATAACAAACCACATAGGGGGCACAGTTACAGAGCCTTCCTAGACATATCCAAACAACTCATGGGATTAGTTGACTGCATCAAAAGGCTTGGGACCATAGACTTGAGGGACAACTTAGTTAATTGGCATAACATAGGCCATAAAGATAATGTTCTACATCCAAGTTTGGTGCGTACCATCCAGGGTCATAAAAGCCTGTGAGCAGCCATTTAAGTTACAACTATCAACCTCTACTCATATGGAGCAAAAGAGAATGAAGGAAAAGGCTCAAAGAAGAAAGCAGTCCATGGGACTAACAGCCCACATGAACCACAGCCTCTTGTAACCTGAGCCCAGAAGAACTAGATGGTACCCAGCTGCCACTACCAACTCTTCTGACCAGGGACACAACAGAAGGCCCTGGACAGAAAATGGGAGGAAAATGTAGAACAAAATTCAAATTCCTAAAAAGGATCGATAGAGACTAGAGGAACCGCAGAGACAATCGCTCTAAAATACCCTTTGAACTTGGAACTGAAACTAATTCTGCAGGTCACCTTTTGGCCAAATAATTGGCTTATAAAATAAACAGTATCACCCATGAGTATCGTGCTCCCTTAAACAATTAACTATATGAGACCAAAAGGTCATTTACCCAAAGACGAGAAGGCTAGGGAGGGGAAGGGAAACTAGATCAATGGAAACAGAACAAACAGAAGGGAAATAATGCGAATGCTGACACATTGTAAAAACTGTAACCAATGGCAAGGAACAATTTGTATAAAAAATGTTAATGGGGAACCTAATTTGCTGTGTAAGCTTTCACCTAAAACACAACAAAATATTATTTAAAAAAAAAAGAAAAATAGCCCAATAGGCAAAGTAAGGTTTTATTAATCAAGCAATCTGTGAAAACTAATGATACTCCAATAAAACACTTTCATTTATTTAGTGTTGGTAGTGCTAAAACTGCCATCTACTGGATGTTCACTAAACTACATGAACAATTAGGAGTGTTAACAGTACATCCCAGCCAACAAGACAGGAACAATTTTTAATCCTATAAAAAATGTCAAGACACAAAATCTTGTTTTGAATATATTTTCCTATTCTGGAATTATTAACTGCAATACAGTATTCTAGACGTAAGATGACTTCTAAAACAGCAGTCCATCTTTTAAAATGACTTCAAAATCTAGAAATGAAACTTCTACTTGTTTTGTAGCTTGTAACCTTATATGTTTTATTTCACAACTCATCAATCATTCATATGGCATTGATATACCTGCACTGTTAAGGTCTTTACAGCAACAATACCATTACAGCAGAATATACAAAAGCTGCATAAGCATACCCCAGGAGTGAATATATTTCAATTCTGTATAAACATCAGGATTAACAACAACAAAAAAAAAAAACACGTGCGCTTACAGTGTTATGTACAACTAAGAAATACTGCAAAACACTGTAATTAAAATGTTTAAGTCTCACTTTAAGATGTGGCAGTCTGCTTCTGTAAAGATTTATAGCCTTGGAAACCCTGTGGGGCACTTCTACCCTGTCCTCTAGGGTGGCTATGAGTCGGAATCGAGCGGACGTAAATGGGTTTGGTTTTCTCCCCCGATGTCTTCCCTAAGTATAGAAGTAGCTCACTCTTGGGAAAAAGGGATAGATGCACCCTGAGGGTAATATTATTTTGCCTTCGCCAGAAGC